TTTTTTTTTTTTTTTTTTTTTTTTTTTTTTGGTGTGGAAAAATAGAAGTGCCTGCAGGGTATTAGCTCTACTGTGCCCTCCTTACTGAAAAGTGGTAATAAGTAAAAAACTTTCTGCTTGTAGACAGTGTGGAGTTAATAGTCATTGAATCTTATTGAAAGGCCTTGATCTTGAATTACTTTGGGCAGAGCCACTGAGTCTGTGTTTGGGATTGAAATTTAGTTTAAAGTAATGTCCTTGGTAGGCCTCTGATTTCTATTTTGCAAAGAAAAATGTCGCTCAGGCTTTTATGAAAAAGACAGAGATTTATATGTTCACATATTTTCTGTGCTTCTCAAAGAAGCAAAGAAATATAAGTTGTCAAATTATGCTACTGGAGATATAATTAGATTCGAATTTTTTGTCACCTTGTAAATTTTGTTTTATTTTTAGTGTTTTATGAAAGCAGTGTGATTGTTTATTGGTTACATAGCAGTAAATAGCATTGTCTTAGTTTAATTAAAACTTTTGAAGTCACAGAATTTGTTGTTTGTATATATTAGTTTAATATTGCCAACCAACTTATTTTGTCACCTCATATAGTGATGTTTTTTTCCCTAGGCGGAGCTTGTTTACAAGTAACAAATGTTCAGTACTAGAAATACAAATATAAATGTCAAAATCACACCCAGTGTTGCTTTTTGAAAAAAACTACCCAGATTTTCCCAAAGCTAACATTTTATCATTATCTGTTTTATCCCTCCCCCCATACATACACACTCTTTTCCTGAATCGGTTGAATATAAGTTGAAGATGTTGCCCTTTATTTTTAAATACCTCCATGTAGATATCCTAAAATTAGGGGCATTTGCTTACATAAATATACTATATAACCAAAATCAGAAATTAGCATTGATATATCACTTACCTAATATACAGACCTTTTTCAGATTTTGCAAAATTTCCCCAGAATGCCCTTTATAGCAAAAGAAAATCAGAGATTATGCAGCACATTCTGTTTCCATGTCTTTTTAAGTTTGGAACAGCTCTTTAGTCTTTGTGTTTATGGCATTAACATTTTTGAAGAATACAAATTAGTTGTTTGCAGAGGTTGTTTCTTCATGGTTAAATTCAGGTTATGCATTTTGGGGGCAGGAATAACAGGAATGATGGTCTCTTCTCAGGGCACTATATCAGGAGATATAAGATACATTTTGATTTGACCATATGTGCTCACCTTTTGACTCAATAATCCCAAATTTAGGAATTTATCATGAAGATATACTTCCAACAGTATTAAAATACACATGCATGGGTTTACAGCATTGTTTGTGGTTAAAAATAATTATAAGCAATGGACAGGATAGGATAGGAGTTGAATGAGATATGATATATTCACCCAGCGGAGCATTATATGCAGCTATGAAAGGAATGGGAAAAGTCTTTATGAACTGATGTGGAGTACTTTCCAGTATTCAATGAATAAAAAGATCTACTGTATCCTTTTGTATACAGTATGTATAATATACTATCTTTGGTGTAAGAAAGAAGGGGAAATAAGAAAATACTTACATATTTGTTCATTGGGATGAAAACAGCCCAGGAAGGAGAAGTCAGAAATTAATGAGATTGGTTACCTGTAGAAGGTGGGTGGGAATGGGGGTGGTGACCCTTCTGAAGACACCTTCTTGACTTTTGGAACCATGGTGTTTTACATACTCAGTATATAAACAGCAAACACCAATAAAATCAAACGATGAAGGGAAAAAACCACCGTAAGGTAGAGTACATACAAAAGCAAGTGTTACCCTTTTTTTCAAATGAGTAACATAACCACACTGAAGGGGGAAAGAGAAAGAAAGAAACTTTTGAACCTGGATTTGGACTCTGTCCTTAGGATAAAGACCAAAACAAAGGAGCTGTCTAAACAAACACTGAGCCCTAGTTAATAGGCTGTTCCTTTTTCTTTTTTTTGGTCACAGAAGCATGGGTTTGCAATTTTGAAACAATTTTCTATCCTAGGATTAAGCAAATAAATAAATATAATTGTGGAAAATGGAAGCCACATTTTCTTATTGCTGGAGAAAGAATTATAAATGTGGAAAGGGGGAAGCCTAGAATGAACTCTGTGGTGTTTGATTGGAACGGAAGATATTTGTATGAACTTATGGTTTGAAAAATATATGGATAGATATAGAAATAGATATGTGGATTGTGGATACACATACACACATCTCTATATGTTTTTGCCAGCTCTGTCTACTGAGAGGGCTTAGAAACAGCGGGCGCCCCATTAGCAGGGAAAACACATAGAGCCAGATTTTTGTTTCTGAGTAACCTTTACTAAAAGAAACTTTGGTGAAATGACTGGTCCCAGGGCTGGGGCAGGAAACAGAAGATGAGCTTGGAGCATCTTGGAGTGCCATAAAATAAAGAAGTGCTCAAAAAACAAAACGATGGTGGCATGTCAAAGACATACATCCAATCTGCAAGAACTCCCACTGGTTAACTCTTGGACAATGTATGATCATTGAAATAAATAATGATAGTAATTGATTCTTGCCCATAAATAAAGTCAGATTCTATGACTCCATAGTGATAAATAAATGAAGGAGAGAGGGAATTTCATAAGGTGGAATTCTGACTAATAAGCATAGAAGAAATGATGGAATTAGAAACTCATTTGGCAGTCATAACAGTTGACTTAAGTATGCATCATAAATGGATGTTAAAACTCCTTGAGTAGCTGGAGTATTAGCCCATAAGATATTATTAATTATTAAGGGGAAAATAATAGGCAATAGCCACAGGAGAGAAACCTGGCTGATACCACCTTGAACGAATGATCAACGGTAACATCTCTGATGCTGCTTTGGGTAATAATAATACGCAGAGTTTGTTTTACGCAGTTATGCTAACAAGATCTGGTCTTCTTAATCACCCTAACTAGTTATTGAATGAAATTGAGCCTGAAGGAACAAAGTTGAAGCAACAAGAACCAGTCTTCTGTTTAAGGAGAAAATTTCTGCTTAGTTTTATTTGCAGATGTCTTTCAAGTGAAAGGTTGATCAGTTTAGTTAGACCGATACAGATTTTGGCTATGGTCTTTAGCATAATGACCTCCCTGTGCACTAATCTTGTTTTTTGCTATATGTCTGTGTGTTTTTTTCTGTCTTCTGTGGTGGTTTTGAAAGGTAGATTCTATATTGCTTTTTACTACTTGGCTTTACCTTAAAATTATTCATATTCTTAAACATTTAATTAAAAATCAGAATAATAGTGTTGTTTCCAGTTAGAGAAAACAAGAAACTTACCAGTTTGTTTGCTGTGTTTCCACCAGTTCTTTAATAAATTTATTGTCCTTATTTAAAGCAACCAAAAGTGTGTGATTGGATTGTTTTTAAACAATTGTTTTTGGCCCTGGGATGTTTGGTTCAGCAGTTAGAGTGACAGCCCATGCACCAAAGGGTTTTGGGTTTGATTTCTGGTCAAGGGGCATGTACCTGGGTTGTAGGTTTGATCCTTGCCTTGGTTGGGCGGGGTGTGTGCAGGAGGCAACCAGTGGATGTGTCTCTCTCACATAGAAGTTTCTTCTTCTCTCTTTCCCTCTCCAGGTCTACTCTCTGAGAAACAATTGAAAAAATATCCTTCGATGAGGCTTAACAAAAACAAAACAAAACAAGTTTTTTTTGTCTTTTGCAGTTTATTTTTTTATTATAATGGTAAAAAAAAATACTCAGTGGTGTGAATCCCTTTCTCATTAAGGGTTGTGCTTTTTCCATTTCTATTCTTCTAACTGGTTTCAGTGCTTTCAAGCAGTCCTCATCAACAGCTAGTTTTATAATGAATTGTGATTCAGAGAACACTTTCAAGTACTTTTTACTGAAAAGATATCTAAGATTATGTTTACTTTTGTATGCTAAATAATTATTTGCCTGGGT